TCAGATTGGACATTCTGAAGGTTGTGGCTGTGTGATCCACTCCAATTTCCTCCTTGATGAATTCAAGATGCTCCTCAACCACTTTTTCCTCGTGAATTGTTGGAAAGGTGTCCAAGATGTCTTTCTTCCCCTCATCTTTCATGGTTTGCATGAACCTGCCAGGGAAGGGTGCATTTGGGGGAACAAAGTTAGAAATAATTAAATTTGGAACAACCTTACTTGAATGGGGTGGTGTAGGAATATTGGGAGGTTGCGGCAAGGGTTGTTCTTCCCTTGCCGTGCCTTGTGCATCCTCCTCCTCTTCGAGCAGTAGCAATTCATCCATGGGCTCATCTTCAACCATTTGTTCTTGAATTTGTTCCATGCATTCTGCATTCTGCCTAAATTGACTGTTCCACTCAGCCAACTTTTTTGCTTGATAGAAATCCTCAATTGGTCGCCAAAATGCGTCTTGTTGAAATGGTTGAGCTTCCCTGCCCTGCTCCACAGAATTCAGTTGTTGAATAACTTCCTTATAATAATTTGATATACCTGAATTTGGATGTGAAGATTGAGGGGAAGGCTGTGGTGGTGCATATGAATCCTCATATGGTTGCCAATATGTTTCTTGGTGAGTCTCCTTAGCTTGATTTTGTGAACCCTGCACCAAAGAGTTTAATTCATTAAGAATTTGATTATAATCTATTGACGAATTTGAGTTTGGTTGGGCATATTGAATATGAGGTGGCTCCCAATATCTTTCTTGTTGAACATTTTGAGGTTCCCACCACATAGAAGTTGAATGATCACTCCAATCCGAATTGTAAGTATTGGAAAACACGTTATTCCTTGATTGAAGATCAACTATATCAACGTTTTGCATTTGGGACCTTTCCATGAGCTGTGACAAAAGATAAGCATTATCAAGTGCCATGTTGTGCTTCTAAAATCAACAAAATAAAACTAAAAATATATACACACAAACGAAAATAAAACAATCCAAGAGATTAGCAAAGTTGCTAATCCCCGGCAACGGCGCCAAAATTTGATGTGAGAATTACTTGACACTCAAATTAAACCCTCGTTTGACAATTGTAGTAGAATGGATAAGTGAGGGATCGTTCTGGACCGGGGATTAGGAGGGATTGTTAACCACTTGGATTTGACTCAAAAACGTAAAAACAATATAAAACACTAAACTAGACTCAAAGAATGTGAAACTAAACGTTAAAACATTAAGACAAACCAAAAGACTCAAAATGCTTTAAAAACACAAACTAAATTGATTTCTAACTAATTTGACAATAAAGTAAAGGGGGGATTGTGTTTGGACGAGATTAAATTAAATGGACAAATTGTAATTAAAGGCAAAACGTAAATATGAATGAGATGAAAATATGGATGATGGAATAGCCAAGGGGTTCATCTCCACACATGTTATACTTGCATACAAAATTGATTCTCAGTTGGTCTTTCGATAAATTATGAAACTCAACACCCCGGGTTAATTAGGTCCGCTTAAATTAACCGTCAAGTTTTCCTAATGTTATTGAATTGGATGACATCATTCGACAACCCAAAGCATTCCTCACAAGTTCCCTACATGAATTGCATAATAGAGATACAAGCAAGAATCATTAAGCATCATGAAAACTATAAGTGTTGACGAGGCATTCGTTACTATGATTGCATGAAACTTATGCCAAGAATTTGTTTAACGCGATTGTTTATAAGCAACCTCCACTACTTGTGAATATAAGTTCATAACGATTAGGTGAAATTCACTTATATTCTAGCGTCAAATTCATGCATGAAAATTAAGCGCGCATTCTTAATAAACATACATAAATAAGTTATCAATCAAACAGTTAAACAAATTGAATCCACAACTTATGAAATTCCAACGAAAGTTAATCAATTCATATTGCAAATATAAACATAGTTTCGAATCACCCCCTAGCTAAAGGGGGTTTAGTTCTTCATAACCTTGAAATCAAAGAAACACCTAAACATTCCAACAACTCAAACTTGAATTGTATGAACGTTTAGGCACTCTTCTCTTCCATTCCTCATACGTACAAAACAAAGAGAATTGAATTTAAACTTTGAAATCAAAGAAACACCTAAACATTCCAACAACTCAAACTTGAATTGTATGAACGTTTAGACCCTCTTATCTTCCTCTTTATTGTAGCATAAGGTCTAGGGATAGTTGGTTGGGGGGATGGAAGTGTGGAATGGAGTGGGGAGTGATGGAAATGGAAGATGGTTTTTGGATTCTAAGGGGAAGTGTTTATTTGTGGTGTGAGAATGGAGAGATGGAATTGAATGAAATGGAAGTGTGGGATGAATTGAATGATGCAAATGAATGAAGTGTGTGTGGTTTATATAGGGAGAGAATGGATGGGAGAGCATGTGAATGATAGCTAGGAGAATGATTAAAGGGGTGTGAATGGTTGGAAATGCATGTGGGTGAATTGGTGGTGCAATGATGAAAGAATAAGTGCATGTGTGTGTTTTGTGTTGGAATGAATGTGGATGCATGATGAAGAGTTAATAAATAATGCATGTAGGGTTAGGAAATAAAATCATAACTTAAAGGGGGGATGATTAAAGGGTGTGTGAATGCATGTGTTGAATTGGTGGTTCAATGATGAAAGAATAAGTGCATGTGTGTGTGAATGGTGGTAGCTAGGGTGAATTATGATAAATGCATGTGGAATAAAGATGGAGAAGGTGGTGAAATGATGAAGTAGGAAGGTGAAATGCATGTGAGATGTTCTTTGGAGAAAGGTGGATGAATGTGCATGTGAATTAAGTTGTGAAAGCATGTGGAATGTTTTAAATGGTTGAAATGTGTAGATGATTATGAGTATGATAAGTGATAAGTGTATGGTTATGATAAGTGATAAATGAATGATATGTGATGATAAATGAATGATATGATAAATGAATGATATGTGGTGAGTGATAAGTGAATGGTTTGATAATTGATAAATGAATGATATGCTAAGTGATAAATGAATGATATGTTAAGTGATAAATGAATGATATGTTAAGTGATGATAAGTAATGATAGGTGGTTATGATAGTTTGGTCTTTAATTTCGTCCATTCCTTTTGCTCTAAATATAAGCTATCCAATCCAAGTCCGATTTTGCTCCAAAATGCTCCAAAAGGCATCATTTTGCATACCTTGCCCTTAGAACCTGAAAACACACAAAAGAAGCATAAAGGACTAAAATAACTAGAGAAACATAACGTAAATGCACGAGAACAAGCCTTTTAAGTCGCATGAATATGCTCCTATCAGTGGATTACACAAAATAAGGGTTTTTATCGCAAATGGCCCCTGCATTGATCCAACTCCTCATTTTGGTCCTTGAGTTTCAAAAATCGATAAATTTGGTCCCTAACTTTCACTACTGCGCATTAATTTATCCCCTCCGTTAATGTGGTCCCACTAATCCAATTATATGGCTCAACGTGGATTAATTGTAAGAAACTATTTTTCTAAGAGTGAACCAAAAGAAGAGTATTCCACGTTTGCATTTTTCTCGTATCCCACAACCCCAAATGGAAAAAAAATTCAATATAAATTCAATAAAATCGAATCCAAATTCAATTCAAATTTGATAAGATTTAGGATTACAACCAACTAGAGAGAATGAGGATTGAGTTCAGGAGGCCAAGTACTTTAGTGGTGTCATGGTGCCTTCCTTTTCCTTTTGAGCATAACCTGATGAAGACGACAATGACTCTTTTTTTCTTTTAGTTTTGGTTTTTAGTTTCTTATTTTACTTTTAGTTTTAAATCTTAAAAAAAAAAAAAAAAAAAAAGTTTCTTATAGTTAGTTCATGTAGTGCCATATGATTGGATTAGTGGGACAAAAAATATTGACGAAACTTTAACAGAAGGATTAAATTGATGTGCAGTATTGAAAGTCAGAGACCAAATTTATCGATTTTTAAAACTCAGGGACCAATGAATCGATGTTAGGGACCATTTGCGATAAAAACCCTTATTTTGTGTAATCCACATATCACCATTTCATTGGATTTGTGGGTCTCACTTACAAACTAACAGAATAGTTGACGAAATCTTAACGAAATGACCAAATTGATGTGCGGTAGTGAATGTCAAGGACAACATTAATTGATTTTGAAAATGAAGGACCAAAACGATGAGCTTGGTCAATATCAGGGACTATTTGTGATAAAACTCATTTCTTATTATTAGTCTAACAATGCAAGCCTCTTTTCTAAATTCCATATTAAAAGAAGATCAAGTTTTATAATAAAAAATAAAAATAAAAAAACTGAAACCGTACTGAAACCTAACCAAATTGAAAAAAAATCGAATTGAAAAAATAGAAAGAAAATTCAACCAAACCGAACCAAGTTTCGTTTCAATTTTGGTTTTGGCAAAAAATCGAACTAAATGAAACCGAACTCACCCCTAGATAAACGTGTTCATTTCTATTGGTAACACATCATTTAATTTCCAATTTTAGTCTTTCTATCATTACCCTTTTACTACCACCCTAATTGGATCATCAACAACCACATTATCTTTATCAAAAAAGTGATGAGGGTAGACAGAAGACAGCTTGGTTCAAATAAAAAGTCCCAAAAAACAGGAAAGTGTTATTGGCACTCCAAAAATCTCATCCTACACTCCTCACAAGTGTATTTTTCTTTCCTAATATAGAAATTTTGAAGTGTAGAATAAGATTTTTGGAGTGCTAATAACAATTCTAAAAAAATATGGGAATTGTTATTAGCAGTCCAAAAATCTCATTCTACACTCCAAACTTTCTATATTAGGAAAAAAAAATACATTTGTGAGCGGTGTAAAATGAGATTTTTAGAGTATCAATAACACTTTCCAAAAATATAGAAGTAAATCTTGCTCACCTAATCAGCAATACAGAAGGCCCATCAATATTCCAAGCCCACTAAACCGCCCAGATACCGCCTCTGAGTTTAGTGAAATCTCTATAAAATTAAACCCAAACCCCCCCTCAAATTTTTATCATCGAAATCCCTCGCCTTCCTTCCCTCTCTTCGTTTTCCAATATCTCCTTCCCCATTTGAATTTTGATGCCAATTTTGCCTTACCAGAAATTTACTAAATTTCTTTTTTTTCCTTTCAAAAATTCATAAATTCCCTTCATATCCCAAACCTTCTCCCTCGCCTTACTTCCCCTTACTCCTTTAGGGTCTGCGATGTTTCACTCAATATGAATCCGAACTCTGCAATTTGCTTCTGATTCGTGTTCCGGAGTCTTCGATTCGCTGCAAGACTCCGTGAATTGCGTTTCTTTCACTTCAATTTTAACTATCTCTCGCTGCTCTGCGGTCTGAGATTTTTTTAGGGTTTCTGAGTGTGAGCTCGATTTTTCTTTCCCCCTTCGTATGTTTCTGTTTGACTGCCGAGAAAACGTGGCAAAAGGAGGGAAAATTCGTGGGTTCTTGCGGGAATGCGCTCACGGGTAGATTAATATGAGAGTTGAAGAAAAAGCTGAGTGATATGAGGGTTTGAATATGAGCCATGGAGATGCGGACAGTAGCAGCAGAGTGAATCAACCAAGTAGCGATGCGCCAAGGAGAACAGGAGGTGGAGGAGGAGCTGATGAGTTTGGCCGGGCCTTGTCGACAGTTGCGGTGGCGCAGATATGCGAGAGCGTTGGGTTTCAGAGCTTCAAGGAGTCTGCTTTGGATTCCCTTGCCGACATTGCCATCAGACACCTCCGTGACCTAGGGAAGATGTCGAGTTTTTACGCCAACTTGGCGGGTAGAACGGAATCCAATGTGTTTGATATTATTGGGGCGTTGGAGGATTTGGAGTCGTCGCAAGGGTTTTTGGGTGCTGCCGAGGTGGGTCATTGTTTTGCAAAGTCTGGGATTGTAAGAGGCATTGTTGAGTATGTGGGTTCGGCTGAAGAGATCCCGTTTGCACAGCCATTGCCTTGGTTTCCGGTGATCAAACAACGGAAATTGATCCCAAATTTCGAACAGATGGGGGAGGCTCCGCCAAGTAAGCATTTGCCCAATTGGTTGCCGGCTTTCCCTGATCCACATACTTACATCCAAACACCAATGTGGAATGAAAGGAAGACCGATCCTCGAGAAGATAAGATCGAGCAGGCTAGGCAGAGGAGGAAGGCTGAGAGGTCTCTGTTGAGTCTGCAGCAGAGGTTATTGTGCAATGGTGAGGCTTCTGGTTCAGGAGAAGCCTCTGCAGCAGTGGCATTGAGGGGCGGCAGCGGCAGCAGTAATGATGCAAAGGGATTGTTATTATTACAGGGGAACGAGAGTGATCAAAGTAATCCATTCCTTGAACCGCCAATCCAGCCGGGGGAGAAAGATGTATCAGTATCCCAAGTAGTTTTGCCATCCAGGTTTTCAGACGAAGTGGCAAAAGGGAACAATGCGGGTTCTTCCCTTTTGGATGCGTTTGCGCCCGCCATTGAAGCGGTGAAAAGCGGGGCGTGGATGGATGGAGACGATGAGAGGAGACAGCTTCTTCCCGAAACCAGGCCGTCAGTGAATTTCAAGTTCAGAAGCGGGAAGAAGTTTCTGGGGCAACCTTCGGATCTGAGCCTGCAACAGAAGGGTTCCGGAAGACCAGCATATTGGTTCGGGCGAGACGAGGAGAGGGATGACAAGAAGAGGAGAGCAGAGTTTATTCTTAGACAGTCGATGGAAAACCCACAGGAACTCACTCAGTTGTAGATTAATTTGATTGACTGGTTTTCTAGGGATTTAGGAGTGGTATTTTTATGTACTCTGTTGTTCTGCAAGTAGAATCTAGTTAGAGGTAATGTGAATGATTCTTTCAATTTCCATGCTTTCTTGAGAACCAATTTTTGAAGTTGTTGTTTTGGGGTATTATTTTTTCCCCACCATCTGAGATTTGTATTGACACATTGAATTCGAATATTGAGTTGATCGGCGCAAATTATGTGCTCCTCCTTGTCTTCAATTCCTTTTGAGTGGATCCGTTTATACTTTTTTGGGTAGTAATTTAAAGTAAAGAAGAGAAAATGGTTTTCGCACGCCTCTTTTCTCACCATGCAAGTATGCAAGTACAAAATACATGGAGGTGAGGAAGAGAAAAGAGATGTCCGAAAATTACTTCCCAACAGAAAATGTACTTCCCTTAAGAGTGGGAGACAGTGATCACATGCTGCTTTCTTAAATTGGAAATTCAAAAGCTTGATTTAAGACCACACGATAAGAACATGATCATCTTATCTTTTACAAAATATTTAATGATTAAAAACTTTACAACATAAGGTACTCCGGAACACCATAAAAATCCCGAGAGAATCAGTTCACAACATGGGTAAGTAATGTCATTGAACTCTTCAATTTGACAAGCAGGCATAGTTATATCGAAAGCTAAATCGTCTCCAAGTTTAAATTACTTTAAATGACTAGGCCAAGGCAACAATAAAGTCAGCAGGTATCTGTCTTTGGTTATACACAGTGAAGAGAAAATACAAAAACATAATCCAAGACAGCTAGAACACGCATGGAAACATATGCAGAAACAGCACTGATCTGCCGAATGCTGCCATTCTACCCTAAAGGCCAAGAAAGAAACTGAAATCGTGGGTGCTTTGGTTGAAAACATTCCACGATGGTTGAAATCGTCAGTGCTTGAACTTCAAATCCAACTCCACGGGAAACACTTTGGCACGATGGTTGAAGATCATAAAGTCAAGGTTGTCTGGTAGAGAAACAATCCTGCACTCCAAAATAAACAGATGTCAATGATCCAATCAAACATCTTGCATATAGCATTTCCAAAGTCAAATTAGCAATTATTGCACAATTGTTAAATTCCAGTACAGAGACCATGGAATAAAAAGCAACTGAGATATTTCATTAACACAGTTTTCTCTTGCAAAGTTTATGCCTAAAAAGAGCAAACATAGCTGGTTCTTTCCATGTTGAAGAGTGCACATTTGTTATCCACTCATCTCTATCAATATGCACCAATGCTTCACCCTCAGTCTTACTGATGTATCAAAAGTTAATTATGCAAGGAAAAATGAACTAGATAACTGATGGAGACAACTTGAGGGTTAATCCACATCTGCCATTAAGGGTTAATCCACATCTGCCATTAACCTTACAGATAGCTTAACAAGTTAATAAATTTTAAAGAAAGAAAGTTCCTTTTCAATCTGTAAGCTTGCTGCACAATCTTCAGAAGGACATGTGAACAGCTAATTATCTTATCAATAATCCCCACTACATTGAGACATACAAATTCAGCTCTTAGCCAATGTTGGGTTTATTGATAATGGAGAAAGCAAAGAACTAAAGCCTTTGTGCTCGTTTGGTTTCTTATCCAAGTTGAAGATGGAAAATAATTCTCTGGACAAAATTTGGAGTTGGCATCCATTTCTTCATTCAACACACATTGAATTCAGTGAGTTATGCAATCCAATCAAATCCTTAACACCAAACAAGGCCTTTATCTTTCCATTATCCTATTATTATTATTAGTGAAAATAGAAAGAAAAAGGAATTAACTTTAGGGTTTTCTTCTCAAACTCTCTCCTTCCAATTTTGTCAGGATTTGGTAAAGTTCCCAAAGTATTATCTTCTCAAGGGAAAATTAAAAGTTCCCGTTAGTACGTTCTCTACTTTCTCAAGCTTACTATGAACCAAACATGAATTTTTAAATTGTTGCCATCTTCTTTCCATCCAGTCCTTGCCAACTCACAGATTCTCAAACTCGAGATTATAATTAAAAGGTATTGCATGCAAAGTGCATAAGCATAACGCAATGACTACAGTTTACTTCAACTTTCAATTGCAGGTATCGAAAATAGTCCAATCACACCCTGAACTCAAATCCAAGTCAGGTATTGAACAGAATAAAACACGTATACGTACCTGTTCTCTTCAGAATAGGGATGAATCGAAAGAAACGTGCCCGGGACAGTAAGTGCCGCCCACATACAGAACCCTAGCCCTAGAAGCAATTCAGCGACCACCTGCATTCCCAATAAACCCTTTTAGACACGCTAAACCACAATCAACCCAATTTTATGAATTTGTATTTGTTAAATCTCACAGTTAATGGAGGTCCTGAAAACTCTTCCTCCATAATCTTCAACAATCCCCTGTCTGCAATCAAATCAAACCAACCAACCTAAAAAACAATCCAATTTCAATCACACAACTAAACCCTATATTCCTTTTACTCTCTAATGCAAATTGAAATATATATATATATGTATGTATGTATGTATGTACAGATATAGATATAGAGACGATTAGGGCTTACATTGAACGGTTGAATAAGCAGCGTGAGAGAGAATTACAACTCCCAGGATGCCAACAACGAAGCCCAAACTCAACGCCATTATAGCTCCAATCTCCGGCAGGTTAGAACTCCGGTATTGGCCTAAACGACGTCTTTAGCGATGCAAGAACGAATCGGCGTTTGGCTCTTCTCCAGTAAACTCTGAGAGAGGGCTTCTTGTCCCCCTTTGCTTCGTTTTGTAGAAGATGCGAATTAAAACTTGGAAATACATGTCGTTTATATGTATCAGCTTCCTAACGCGACACCATCACAATAAACGACACGTCGTTTCATCTTCTCCGTGCTAAAGTTAAAACGGGCACAGCCAGAGAGGCTCCATAGCAGAAGCATGGTTCAACTTCATGCAACTTTCTCTTTCAGCAACTCTCCCAAATTCTCAGGTTCTTCTCCCAAACGTCCCCGTTTCTCTCCCACATCCTCAAGCCTCTCTCCAAAACGTCACCGTTTCAGTGTCGAATATCTCAGAGCAAATCTCCTTGGCACTAATTTAACATTTAATTGTAAGGTAAGTTCTTCTAACACTCTAATCCACCAGCTAAATTTTGCTTCTTTTTTTCTTTTATGTGATTAGTTTTCAATTTTTTCAATTGGGGTTTTTCTGTTTAGGCCAATGGAGGAGAATTGGATCCCTTGCCTCACTTGCAGACTCTCAGAACATTTCCAAGGGAGGAGCTTGCTGCAAAAGTTGTCCTGGTCAGATTTGACTCTGCCCATTTGCTTCATGAACATGTGGAACAACACAGATTCCAATCCGATGCAGTATTAACGATTAAGTATTTATGCCAATCCGGGGCTAGAGTAGTTCTTGCTAGTGATTGGAGTGTTAAAACTAATCCTAAACTGAGTGTTGCACAGTCTGTTGCAGGTATATAATGCTTCTTGGTAATGTTAGTTTTAGTTTATAACTGTAATTTAGACAATTATGATGTTCTATGATAGCGAACGTTGTGTTGTTTGAGTTGTGTGACAATTCAGCATTTTGATAGTTGGTTTATTGCTTGTTGGTTTCCATAAATCAGATTTTTTGTCATCTCTTGTCGACTACAAAGTTGCTCCGGTGCAATGTATTTCTAACCTGGCATCAAAGGTGGAAGGTTTTGAGAAAGGAGATATTGTTCTTCTTGAGAATCTTTCTGAGTTTAGAGGGGAAGTTGCCAATTGTTCAAAATTTGCTCAAGTATTGTCATCAGGAGTTGATATTTTTGTTAATGACTACTTTTCCCGGTCTCATAAGATGCTTGCATCCACCTGTGGAGTTGCTCGCTTCTGCCATGGAAACTTAGCTGGTTTTCACTTTGAGAAGAGCCTATCTCAACTTAGAAGGGCTGCAGAAACTGACACAAAACCTTATGTAGCAATTGTATGCCCTTGCTGCTATTATATTTTTATTTGGCTCCAGTTAAAATTTGACTTATGAACTCTAACTTTGTTATCTTTGGATATGCAGATTGGTGGGGGTAATCTCTCTGATAAAGCAGCTGCTTTGCACTCCTTAGCTTCAATATGCGATGGGTTAGTCTTTGTTGGAATGATGTCATTTCAAATAATTCACGCCTTAGGGATATCTGTTCCCTTGAATTTCTTGGAACATGGGGCACTTAAAGAAGCTTTAGATATAGTCCAGGTTGCACACAATAGAAATGTACAGATACTATATCCAAAAGACTTTTGGTGCAAGAATGATTCTCTTCCGAAGCAATTGGAAATATTTCCTGCTCATGGTATTCCAGATGGTGAGACTGCATTTGATTGACCAAAAATATGATGCCTTTTGACTCCCTTCCTTTCCATGAATGATTAGAGCATGTAGCCAGAATGAATTGACTTATTCTTTTGACTGCTTTTGATGATCACAATATCTTTGAAACTGCACAATCTAAGTCTCATATGATAGTAACTTGTGAAATTGGGTTTTAATCCAAGTTATTTTCCCCTATTTTAGGGTGGGTACCTATTGATATTGGGCCTGTATCGTTGGTTGATATAAACTCCACGCTTACAAAGTGCAAGGTAAATCAAAAGACTTTCAAAGTACTATTATAAGGAAGAGGAATTGTTTTTTGGTTTTGAAATGCCAATTTATTTAAGTTTTGAGGTGACAGTATCAATTTGTTAACTATTTCTCTTTGTATTTAGACAATGCTTCGTTTTATTGATAGGTTTTAGTGTGCATAAGAGTTTGCTCAGGTACTTTATCTAAGCACGACATCTAGCAAGCTTAATATAGCCCTGGAGACCGTTTTTTCACTTTCAACTCCGGTGTTGGGCTCCATATTCATTATTCTGTTCTTTTGCACCTTCATGGTTGTTTACTTTTCAGCATTGAAAACTGAAAATTTTAAATTTTATTGCAAAAGTTTCAAAGTTAAATTCCATCTTGATGTCATCTCTATTTTCTTTCTTGACGGAATTATGTTCACTTTTGTGTTGAGTGTTCAAGCACGCATTGTTTCTGGCCTTGTCATGGACTCATTGTCAGACCTCCCTCATTTGAAGTGCAGAAAGTCACTTGGATTGGTCCAGTAAAATTCCGTATGAGTAACTGCACAAAAGGAGCTTCTATACTGGCCCAAATGCTGAATCAACTAAGTCAAAGCAACTGCAGTGTAACTGTTGTTGGGAGTATGGCATGCGAAGCAATGGTGAAGGAATCAAATTCTGTCTCTCATTTGACCACGATTGAGAATGCTTCAGTTGTATGGGAGTTTCTCAAGGGAAGAAAACTTCCGGGGGTCATGGCCTTAGATAGGGTATGTTTCATGCTCTTCTTTCATAAAAATTCACCACTTTAACCAGAAGCTTGAAAAAAATTGATTCAGAATTATCGAATGAGACAAAACTAAATGTCTTGTATTGTAACCCATCATGGTTGGAAAGACCATCTAGTATCTGGTGGCCACGTCAATATTGGTATATATTTTACATGTGTGTTAATCAGAAAATGAACCCCTTCTTATAATGACTGTCCCAAACCACTGTAATATATGAAAGTACATGAGCTGCAATTCTTTGGGAATCTAGCCTTTGTATCTCATGATGGTGGTAGTAGTTCCTACCACAAGGGCCATTAACTCAAAACACTTTGTTTAAATTTATTTGTGGGTAAAATGTGAATTGATGCATCAACCTGACTTCACTCTCAGCTAAGAGATCTTTCGGATTCAATACACTTCCAAAACATACAATTGTCGGGCATTGCATATTATTTTTTTTCAAAATTCTGAAAGCAGTGGTATTTTGCTGGCATACCCTTTTGATATTGACTGGATTGCTGCCTATTCTGATCCAGCTCAACCTTTGGAAGTTGATATTGGAAGTGGTATAGTATTTGAGCTTCTTCTCTGCTCTTATGGGTTTTCCCCCTCCACTTTTAGGTTGCAGTTTGTTACATTGTTAGTTGCTCTTGTTCTCTGAGTAAGAAAGTTAAAACAGAGAAACATGATGATTAAGTTCTCACAAGAAGCTAAATTTGATATAAATGATAAACTTATGATTGGGATAAACAAATATTCATTTAAATGTTTCTATAATATTGGGAAAAAAAACTTTATGATTTGATTATGAGATAGTCATAGAAGTCACTGGTTATTTTCTAACTCCAAATAATAAATGACAGGTAATGGAATGTTCCTTTTCGGGATGGCCAAAATAAGGAAGGATTTGAACTTTCTTGGTTTGGAGATGAATAAAAAGGTTTCCAGTATTTTAATTTTTTATACTCTTTTTGCTTATTCTTATCATCTACTAGTGACAGCTTTACAACTTCTTTCAGCTTGTACAACGTTGCCTGGATTCTGTTCACCAGTCTGGTATACGAAACGGGTAAGGTTTCTATCCTTGTGCTGCAAAACAACTACGTCCTTGTGAATTTGCTGGTCTAACTGACTTCTACATGAAATTAAACTAGGTCCAGCAATTCTTTGTATTGTGCATGTCTAGTTAGCTTGTGCTGGATAAAATTGGTTGTTCAGTTTTGTAAGTTAAATTTAGTGGACGCAGCCTGTGTGAGTGTGTGTTTGCACCTATCTGTTTGAATTTGGGGTTGATGTAGGAAACTATGCTGTTTTCATTGATAGAATAGGATGTTTCTAACATTAAAGCTCAAGCTTCATCATCTTATCTATGTTTGTTCTGCTTTTGTCTACATTAGGTATTTCATCGCAACAAATGCAACATCAACATTCCGTTCGATTATCTCTAGTTACCCTGGAAAGCTAGTTCTTGTGTCAATACAGGTTAGGATTGCAACTCTATGTCTCTTATCTTTTATTGGTCAAAACTCTATCTCTTATCAGAATGTAATGTCATTCTACCAACAACGGTTCTGCCTCTTTAATCAAGTGTCTAGATAGGGTTCGTACCTAGACGTTGTTATTACTTTATGAATTAGGAAAATGTAATATCATTCTGCCGATATTGGTTTTTTCCCATGCCAACACTAAAAAGATATGGTAAACTGAGTTTTTTTTTTTTTTTTAATTTCTTGTTTTCTTTAATGGAATTGTATTGTGATTCATATATTTACTTTATCTTTTGAAAAATTCGTTTGATAACTTTCCGAATAGTTCCTTGTAGAGAACAACCTGATGCCGCATTTCCACATTATAAGTTAAGAAAGATATAGTTCTCTGTTAAATTGGTCTCTATCACTTCACTTGCAAATGACATTGAAAGTAGGGAGTACATGTGATGTGATGTTTCCACTGATTACTTAGATTTATATAGGTATCTATAATTTAATTGGGATTTTCCCCATGCAGTGTCCGAATCCTGATTTCAGTGAACCAGAACATAGATGGAGTATGCTGCAAAGGTCATTAGTTGAAGCAATTTCTGATCTCCTTACAGCTAATGGAAAGGTACTTGTTTTCAACTCCACTTCAGTACAGAGCTGCTTGTGAACTTTGCCTACTTTCTTTGCCAACCTTCACTCTCCCTTCTAACCACTGCAAATAACGGCGTATACTCCAAGATGCACTGTTAAACATACAAAATCTTGAAAATTTTATGTAGGTGAGCTGCATGACAGGGCTCTGACAGGTCAACTTGCTAACTTCTCCTGTATTTGGTAGGTCTTTCTGCAATCTGACGTAGAGACCGTCTCTGTGAGAATGAAAGAACAGTTTCACAAATATGGTAAGGGAAAGCTTACTGTTCTGCGTGAACAAAGTTATGTTGTAACGAATGCAGGGTGGCTTAAGGAGAACCCCTTTGGAGTTCAGTCAGATTGGGAACGACATGTCTTGGATCGTGGGGCTCCTATGTACAGATTGATGCTTCATAAATCAAACTCTAGTGAAAGAAGTGATTGCAGTTAATGATGTAGGAAAATGGCAAGCCTTTTACCAGTGGAGCTAAATGGGGTATAGTCTAACTGTGCAGTGGTCTAGACTCATTTCTCAATCACATCTATTTCTCCCAGCAATGCTGTCATTTTATGGTAAGGGCTGGTTGTTGCTGCATTTTTGTGATCTTATCATATTATAAATGGGTAGCACTAATTCCAGATTTGTGGCTTGCACTCCACCTAATAAACTGAAGGAATCTTCCATGTAGGTCGTAAGCCAGCAACAAACGGGTGGCAACAGATAGTGCAACTGCTATAAATATTTTTTTTACGTTGAGTTTATTAGCGTCAAATTGCTGTGCTCTGTTCTATAACATAATCAAGTTGAATTTATTGAAAATTGTCAGTCAAGTGAATATGCTGAACTAATATGCACAGTTTGCAGGGATGAACAACTTCCCGAGTTAGAGAGATGGTGGCGGATCGACGCTATTGATGAAGCACATGCAGTATCAAAAGAATAGGGACCAAATATGGTTTGAGAACATGCATGTCGGAAGCTTAGCATCGATCTTCCCTGCTGGTGTCTGTAAAGCAAAGGAACCACATTGTGGACAAGCATCAACAGTAGTTATCTGAAGTTACCATCTTTGTCATTTCGATCATTATATCTGCATTTGTAATCACTGACACTTGTTTATAACAATTTTGAATGTAAGTTCAGTTTATACCGTATAAATTTGCACGTTTTGGGATATCGTCGTCGCTCTTGACGTAGCGTTTGGAATTGTTGCTTGGGGAACCAACCAATTTACTTCTCTTTTTGCTGTTCATTGTTCAAGTGCATCAATCTACTCTCCTACAGTTCCTACTGCAGCAGGATATGCAACCAAGTTTTGACAACAATATCCGAAAAGACCGGCTTATATGGACTCTTTCCTCGTTTGATGTATATGATTGGATGGATAGACAACTAAATTAAAGGTGCGTTCAAGAGAGAAATGAAAAAAAATTAGGTCCAATCATCGATAATAAGGTAGGATGGTTTGCGAATTTGTTTACGGTGAAGAGATTGTTCGGTGTATCCAGGACACAGGCTGGTTACACTGGTACACCACATGTTGTAATACAGGTGGAGGAAAACTTGAAAAAAACAAAACTTATATCCATTTATATTATGACAAGTGCACCGCACAAAGGCTTTTGGAAGAGGACTACTTTCTATTATCTTATCAAGTCTTAACGAACTTGATACGGTAGATGTATGTATTTAATACATTCACCACGTGATGGTCAAATGTGATGAATATAATATTTTCTTTTTGGTTGCATACTTGATCATTTGATGGTAAATATATTAAGTAAATATATACAGCCATTGTAGCGTTATTGTTCCCAACTTCAATAATTGAAAAAATATATATAGGATTAGCTCCTCAAATTTGACAACACCATTGAAACTGCCGATTACAAATCCAGCAGTTCTAGAAAAAGAATCATCAAAATTTAACTTCTATTTAATTGTCGCCATTTGACTTTTTAAGTTTAGGAACTTTTGGTTTTCTGAATTCTTGTTTTGTGTAACGATGTTAGTTGTGTCCAGATTTCATAGACAGAATAGTGGCCTACTACTAGTCAACATGATATTTGTTCACAACTTGTATTTTAGTTCGAAAGATACCCAATTCATAATGTAGAACCATTCACCGTATATTTATCTTATTTTGTCAATTTCTAACGCGAGACTTTTATATTCTTTAATATGTTGTTTAATTTAAAGTATTCTATCGGGTTTAACAACAACTACCCAATATTCAGGAGATACTTTCTCCGAATCCATACTTGTTTCCGTAGGCCTTACCGTAATAGGTTTGTCTTGAAATATGCAGACCCAAAATAAATAAATAAATTAGAGTATATTTAATTTGTTTCAGTGTGGTTCGGTCCAGTTTTAAAATCACCAAAACCAAAATAAAACCAATAGTTTTCGATTCGATTTTGTCTAATTCGGTTCCCTTTTTTTTCATTTTTTTAGATTTCGGTTTGGTATTATGTTTGGGTTTTTCGGTTTTCGGTTTTCGATTTTTTGAACCCACCTCTAATTGGGTGTACAACTAAACCCCAGTTTTTAAATTTTAAAAGCATCTCATTAAAAAAATATGAAACATCAAATATGTTTGATGAAGTAAAAAAACAAAAAAAATAAAAAAAAAAAAAAGTACTTACTTTTGAAAAATAAAAAAAAATAAAGAAATTGATGTCAATAACAATAGAAAGCATAAAAAATAAAAAATAAAAAAATAAATAATAAAAAATAAAAAACAGAAACAGGGTCTACTTGCTTTGAAAAACAACTTTTTTTCAAGAGGCGGAGTGAATAGTAGCATTTAATAAAACTTTCTAAAATGCAATAATACCCTTGCATCTTTTACACAAAGACAAACTGTATCCTGACTATACACCTCCACTAGACCACTGATTAGAGGTGGGCACGGGCTGGGCTAGACCCAAATTTGAAGGAACCGGACTAGACTCGTTTTAAAATGCAACAGGGCAGGCTGGCCCGGTTATAGGCAATTTGAGTTTTGGAACCAGACCTAACTCGACTTGTTTAAAACAGGCCAAATTGAAATGGGTCCACGAGTCCAATCCATTATTTCCCAGAACAGTCGGATTCAATCAAAAACTTCGTCAAACAATCGGATTCAACAATTAACACATTCTCCAATTATCAAAATCACAAGAACGCAATACTGTGGACACACAATTTCATCAATTAGTTAAAAACAAATAAAATTTCAAAATTTTTCGATCACAAAAAGTGTTCTTCCTCAACACCCCAACAGTGAACACACATACTGATAAACATGTTAGTATTGAGCCGCCTCAATATTTGCCCACCGATCCCCAACACCCCAAATCTAAAAATTCTTATATTCTAATCTCATTTAAAAAAAAAAAAAAAAAAAAAAACACACAAAAAACAAAAACAAAAAACGAAATGCAAAGCTTCAAAATTAGAAAACTAGAAATTATTAGGTCCACACCCCCAAAATTCCTATATCTAGACAACCCTAAATCCTAATCTTTAACAATCAATACCTTAAAATTGAAGACTTTGAACATAATAGTAGAGTGGTGGTCGGAGTTGAAAAGATATGATGGTGGTGGTCCGAGTAGGGAGAGCAAGGACCTCGAGGTCGTGTCTCGAGTTAGGTAAATTGGAGGATAGAGTCGACAGAGGAAAGACCAAGAGATGAGAGACGAACGAATGGAGCATTGCGCAACCGCTGTGGTTGCGAATTCGAGACAAGAGGCGAGTTTGATACTTTGATTTGAATTTTCGAGGAATCGAGAGATGCGAAGAGACTTAGAGAGAATGAAAATGATGGAGAGAGAGTGATCTAATGTTTAAGAAATACACGATGGAGATTTAATCTCATATAATGTACAATTGAACGGTCCAGGCCGGGGTCCCATTTTTTCATATATTAGGATCTGCCCCACCTCACTTATTATAAAGCCCCGTCTTGCGCCACCCCGTTTTGAGTTTACAATATTTGGACATGTCCTGTACCTACCCCGAACTACATGGACCCGTCCCGACCCGCGGGTACAAGGCCTTGTTTGCCCACCCTACATTGTATCATCTGATCAGATTGATTGATCGACTTTTTTGAACGGGCCATCACACACTCAGACCAAAGAAACAAAAAAAATATCAGATTTTAAAAAGAACGATGTTGATACTCCAAAACTTGCTAGTAGCAAGAGATCATTAGATCAACAACCGCGTTTGAAAATGAAGCAGCTGACGGAAATGGGTCAACAAACTCGTCAACAACTGCCCCAAATGGTACGCCGTTCTCTAGTCTGATTGTCGATCTGGGGAACTTTTTCAAATACAAAAAACAAACCCAAGTGTCCAAAACCATCATGACTCGATCCAAGATGTAGAGTTTCACACAACAGATTAAGAAAGCAAGTCGTTTATGCAACTCCAAGCCTTTGTTTCTTCCAATGGGATTTGATTGTTTTAATCGTCCTACAGAAAACATATCGAAATACAGAAAACCTAGATAAAGAATTAGTAAAAAAGAAGAAGCAAGAATTCAATTGTAAAGAATAAGGAAATGGGGCACAAGTGAGAAAACAAGGTTCCCCAAATTGCTTTCACCGTAAAGAAGAAGGGAGTGGGAGTAGAGAAAATGAGGTTCCCCAAGTAAGCTTCATGCTTATAGTAAAAAAAGAGAGATTATGAATGAAAAATTAGCCACTTAACACCACAATCTAGTAATATTTTTTTTTTAGTTCGATTCTCGTCAAAAGTGAAATTGAACCACATTACTGCTCATTATGAAACTTAGCCCACTCTCCATCACCTTAGTGTTAGATAATAGGCTTATTATATTAACAACCCACAAATTGTTGAATAAACCCCACATTAATACATGCCACATGTGCTTTTTCAATTAAAAATTATCTTAATACACCCTACATACTTCCCCATAATACCCTCACACCCCACATTCTTAATATACACCATACATTTTCTACATGCACCTCATATTTTCTATACACTCCACATTTCTCAAATCTTATAAAGCTTTTAATTTGGACAAAAAATGCTGACTAAAATTTTGACAAAAGATGTCACTTGAGATTTAAAGCATATGTGGGTTGTTTTCAATTCCACCATTAAAACCCATGTCGTCAGTTTTTAATATTTGGTGGTAATTTTAGGTGTTTAATTCTTCATGTAATCTTTGTGATCCCTAAAAGATGAATACAAACATAGAAGCTTGAATAACGCATCCAAAGCAAGATTAAATAATTATCGATGTCGTCAAAATCACTAAAACATCAAAAAATATGAAGTCTTACCTCATGTGAAGCTTCCAAAACATCGATCTCGTGTTTCATTCATCAAAAATATATTTTTCTCAATCAACATGTTTGTAGTTTCATTAGTTAGGGTTTTGTTCAACAATGGAGGGTTTAAGGGGTTTTGATAGTTGAAGAAGATAAATAATACATGGGTAAATTACACTTTACCATCTTAGATTTGGGATCGATTTCAATTCCTTACAACATCTTTAAAACATTTCACTTTCATACCTCAAGTACTATTTTATTTCAATATAATACATCCGTTACATTTTTCATCCATTGATTCGTTAAAAGTTGATGTGGTTGCCACATTTGTGCCACGTAGCTGCTAAATTTATGTCACGTGGCAAAAAAATAATTTTTTATTACCCTATTAAAAAAAAAAAAAAACCACCTATCTTCTTCCTCGAGCCCTTCCTTATCCCTGCAACCTAAAAGCTCAGAAATTTCAAAATCAAGATCTTGAATCTGAGGTATGTAACATCCAATCTCCTTCTCTGCACTTTCATACTTAACTTGGATCGCGTTAAGCCTAGTCTTCAAGACAAGGATCTCTTGGCAAGCGATCTTAAGCTGTAGGGAAGTGGGGGCAGAAATATTAGACCCCTTCAAAGCAATGAGCTCAGAGTCCAACCTCTTGATCTCTTCGGACAAGGAATAATCTTCGGCTACCATAGTCTTCACCACCTCCTTGGCAGCCTTGCTATATATGCATCATAGCAAGCAGAGCAGTCCTTCTCTATTGGGTCATATGCTTCACAAAGGAACTTGGGCAAACAAACCTTTCTAATGCCATCAACAAACTTGGCACAACTGTCCATGTCTTCAAGCATATCTGGTTTCAAGAGCACACATATCTTAGCAGCC